CGCCAAAGGTCCTCATCTCGGAGGGCCTATTGCAGTCGGCCACAGCATGAACGTCAACGTCGTTCTCGTTCATCATCCTGCTCCAGGATACCGCCACAGCACCACCTCTGCAGCCCTGGGCGTCGATCACCGTCGTCTCGCCACCGTGGGTCCGCCTGTTGGAGCCGATCGCAGAACAGCTATTAGCGACGGTACAGGTCCTCCGTATCAGGATCGCAGTCCCGTGTTCAGCATCACTCCTGGTCCAGGGACAGCGGCAGGTCGTATGTCAGCCCGGCCTCCCTTCGTAGTCGTCCATCGATGGGCCAGGCCGAACATCCGGCTCTGTTGGTGCCGCAGCAGGTATAGTGGCCGTGCCAATGGTACCAGTGGTCACTGTGGCCCCCGACGTAGCCCCCGGTGGGGGCTCGCTCAGTTGCAGGAGCTTCAGAAGGACCTTCAGCCTCCCTCTCCAGACCTCCGAGGAAGGAGTCTGTGGGACATACATCCTCAGCACCGTGCCCAGAGACTGACCAGGTGGTGGACCCTCCGGTGCCGGGCGGACACCCAAAGTACCGTGCTGGCCTCCTCACCCTCCCCGGATGAGGTGATTATGGCCCTTCCTCCCTCCGTCCCGCAGGAGGACTTTAGGGCCAATCAAGAACTCTTAAAAAGGGTGGCATCAAGCCTCCACCTCCAAGCAGAGGAGATGGAGGAGCCCTCAGACTCCCTGTTTAACATGCTGCCCTTCTCAGCACCGGTCAGGGTGGCCTTGCCGCTCCAATTAAGGGTTGCAAAAATTTCAAATGCCCTGTGGCAAACCCCAACCTCATTTGCCCCCATCTCTAAGAGAGCGGAACGCAAGTATTTTGTACCCGGCAAGGGGCATGAATACTTATACACTCACCCTGCTCCTAACTCCTTGGTGGTTGAGTCGGTCAACCACAGGGAACGGCAGGGCCAGCCAGCCCCTACCCCCAAAAATAAAGCTTCAAGGAGGCTGGAGTCGTTTAGAAGGAAAATGTATTAGTCTTCGAGCTTCCAGTTATGGGTGGCGAACCACCAGGCTCTCCTGGGCCAGTATGAGTTCAATCTGTGGGGCTCCCTGCCCAAGTTCGAGGACTCCCTCCAGGAGCGTGACAGAAGGAGTTCAAAGTGCTGATGGAGGAGGGTACAGTGGCTGTAAGGGCAACCCTGCAGGCCGCTTCAGATGCGGTGGACATGGCTGCACAGTCCGTGGCCTCCATGGTGTCCATGAAAAGGACATCATGGCTCTCACTCTCTGGGCTGTCCAGTGAGGCGCAGACCTTCCTGCAGAACCTTCTGTTTGACGGCAAAGCTCTGTTTGCGGAACAAACAGTTACAAAGCTGCATGGCCTGAAAGACTCCCGCACGACTCTCCAGACTCTGGGTCTCTATGTTCCGGCTCTGGCTAAACCTAAGTTCAAGCCGCAGCAGACTCCCGCTGAGGCCACCCACCCAAAATACGAGACCACTTATAAGAAGTCGTGGGACTATAAGAGGCGCCCACAAAGGCAGTCTCGGCCTGCCCCCCAGCCTGGGTCCTCCAAGGGTAAGCAAGCGGGGAGAAGGCGGTTTTGACGGGACGCCTGGCAGTGCCCTGCCAGTTCTCATCAGGGATCCACGTTCAACAAAGCTTCCCTTCTCCATCGGTTGTGTGCTTTCCTCCCGGAGTGGTCACGGCTGACCTCGGACCGATGGGTCCTCAACACCATCTCCCGGGGCTACACCCTCCAGTTTAGTTCCTCCCCGCCCAACCATCCCGTGCCTCCTGGGGGACCCTTGCATGAGGCTTTGCTTGAGCAGGGGGTGGGACGGCTCCTGGGCCTAGGAGCAGTGGAAGCAGTACCCAGGGTGTTCAAGGGCAAGTGGGGGTACTCCTGCTATATCCTCATCTCAAAGGCCAAAGGGGGGCTCAGGCCCATCTTGGACCTGCGAGGCCTGAACCAATACATGGTGAAGCTCAAGTTCCGCATGGTCTCCCTGGCCTCCATCATCCCCTCCCTGGATCCCAGGGACTGCTACGCCGCCCTCGATCTGTAGGACGCATACTTCCACATTCATATATTCGAGGGGCACAGACACTTCTTCCGTTTCACGGTGGGCAGGAACACTACCAATCTACAGTCCTCCTGTTTGGTCTGTCCACTGCCCGCAGGGTATTCATGAAATGTATGTCGGTGGTGGCGGCGGCCTACCTCGGGCACTGGGGGGGGGTCCAGATCTTCCCTTATCTGGACGACTGGTTGGTCAAGGGCAGCTCCCGGTCACAGGTGCGGGATCACGTGGCGCTCCTTCTGTCCATGTGCACCACTTTGGGCCTGTTGGTAAACAACACCAAGTCCACATTAGTCCCAGTACAACGCATAGATTTTATCGGGGCGGTCCTGGACGCCTCATTGACACAGTCAGAAGGTTTCCAATGACAACAGCCAGAGCATGCCTCCAGCTCTTGGGTCACATGTCAGCGTGCACATTTGTGGTCCGTCACACCAGACTCAGTATGAGGCCCCTCCAGCTCTGGTTGGCCTCAGAGTTCTCCCAGGCCAGGGACAGGATGGACAAATTCCTCACGGTACCCGAGCTGGTGATCACCTCCCTGCAATGGTGGTCCTCCCTGAGAAACATGCTCCAAGGGGTCCCATTCAGGGGCAGGGCCCCGGAGCTGGTGTCTGACACGTCAGACCTGGGATGGGGGCCCATGTGGTTGGCTCAGGATCTGACCCTACACATAAACATCAAGGAGCTCAGGGCGGTACGGCTGGCATGCATGGCCTTCTGCTCGCACCTGGAGGGCCAGGTCAGGTCAGGGTCTTCACAGACAACACGGCCTCGATGTTCTACGTCAACAGGCAAGCCAGGGCCTGATCCTTTGCCGCGAAGCCCTCAGGCTGTGGGATTTTTCTATAGCCCACGACATCTGCCTACAGGCCTTCCATCTGTCGGGCGCCCAGAATGTGCGGGTGGATCGCTTGAGCAGGGACATCTCCTCTCAGCACGAGTGTTCTCTCCACCCAGAGGTGATGCACAGACTTTTCCAAGTGTGGGGAACTCCCCAGGTGGACCTGTTCATGACTCTGCAGAACTGTCGCTGCTCCCGGTTCTGCTCTGGGTGGGGCTGGGACCATTCCCGCTGATTGGCAAGGTCCTGGAAAAGATAGACATACAAGGCCCGCATCCTTCTGATTGCCCCGGCATGGCCTAGGCAGCATTGGTACAGGCCTGGCGGTCGTCCTGCCATGGCTGTTGCCATCCTGCCCGGACCTGCTCTCCCAGGACCAGGGCCACCTTCTCCACCCCACGACGTGGCTGCTCAATGGTTAGGTCAGGTGGAAAGGACATGCTCGGAAGGGGTTCAGCGTGTTCTCCTAGAAAGCAGGCGGCCCGCCTCATGCCGAGCCTACTTGGCAAAGTGGTCTCGGTTTTCCAGATGGGCTGACGAGTGGGGCGTTTCCCTGGTGGCTGCCCCAATCCAGTTTATTCTGGACTACCTCCTTCACCTTAGAGCCCAGGGCCTGGCGCCTTCGTCTGTCAAGGTGCACCTGGCGGTTATTTCGGCCTTCCATTCTCCGCACACGGTGTTCTCCTATGCCATGACTGGACGATTCCTTAAGGGGTTAGATCACCTCTTCCCGTATGTTAGTCCCCCTGTCCCTCAGTGGGACCTAAACCTGGTGTTGGCCCGTCTCACGGAGTCCCCGTTTGAGCCGCTAGCCACGTGCTCCTGGTCACACCTCTCATGGAAGGTGGCCTTCCTGGTCGTGATCACGTCAGCTAGGCGGGTCTCGGAGCTCAGGGCCCTGACCTCCGAGCTCCCATACACAGTGTTTCGTAAAGATACGGTCCAGCTCCGCCCACACCCTTCGTTCCTCCCGAAGGTGGTCTCCGCCTATCACATGGCTCAGGACATTTTTCTGCCCGTCCTCTGCCCAAGCCCCATGCATCCAGTGAGGAGCATCACCTCCACACGGTGGATGTGAGACGGGCTCTGGCTTTCTACCTGGGGCGGACTAAGCCATTCAGAAAGTCCTCGCTACTGTTCATTGCCCCAGCCGAGCGCATGAAAGGTCGGCCAATCTCCACTCAGCGGTTCTCCAACTGGATCACCTCGTGCATCCGTAGCTGTTATGACCTGGCAGGAATCCTTCCGCCACCAATTGTGAAGGCACACTCGACTCAGGCACAGGCCTCTTCAGCTGACTTTTTGGCCCATGTCCCCATTCAGGACCTTTGTAGGGTTGCCACGTGGTCTTCAGTTCACGCGTTCACCTCGCACTATGCGATCGTCTCCCAGACCAGGGATGATGCTGGGTTCGGCATGGCTGTGCTTCGTCCTGAGAATTTATGAACTTCTACCCACCTCCAACAGCTATAGCTTGGAATCACCTATTGTGGAATACACATGAGCAATCGCTCGAAGAAGAAAAGACAGTTACCTTTTCCGTAACTGGTGTTCTTCGAGATGTGTTGCTCATGCCTATTCCACATCCCGCCCTCCTTCCCCTCTGTCGGAGTTGTCTGGCAAGAAGGAACTGAGGGTGGGGGAGCGCGCAGCACCCCTTATACTGTGCCATAGAGGCACCACTCCAGGGGTCGCTGGGTCGCTCCCCTATGGGTACTGCTAGGGGAAAAACTTCCAGCACCGGTGCACGGGGCGAGCTCGTACACCTATTGTGGAATACACATGAGCAACACATCTCGAAGAACACCAGTTATGGAAAAGGTAACTGTCTTTTGCTCATTATGATGGAGACACTTGCTTGTACACTCGTATTGAAGTTTAATATTAATGGGAATTCTGGATCACCTGCTGAGTTGCTGTGTGACCTTGGGGATAATACCTTCATCAGTGTCAGATTCCCATCTGTGAAATGGGAACAATACTCTTCCTTCTTTCTGAGATGAAAGAGCATGTTCTAAGGAATAACCAATTTATAAAGTGCTTTGAACCCATGAAGTGCCATCTCAATGATGTAACAATGGTTTACTTTTAATTGCAGTGCAGCCTATGATGCCATCCTGGAACGAAATGTTGCGATCAAGAAGCTAAGCCGGCCATTTCAGAATCAAACCCATGCTAAACGAGCCTACAGAGAGCTTGTTCTCATGAAGTGTGTAAATCACAAAAATGTAAGTGAAGCATCCTTCCTTAAATGTTTGTGTTAAGAAAAAGGCCGTTAGGTACTGTATTGGTAGCTCTAGAGGGTAACACCTTACATAGGCTAGAGATGTGTTTAAAGGGTGGCCTGTCCACATATAAAGTATAGGAGGATGCTTCAGAGTGCCACCACTGTGCTTTTCCTTAACTCTTGTCCCCACCCTTGCTTGAAGGCTGGAGCCATGGTGCTGCTCTGCTAGGTGTGGTACAGGCAGGCATTAGCTGATGTACTACAGGTAACCATTCTCCCTTCTGTGCTGCATCTGCTAAAGAGTCTGCTTGGGAGGGATAGAAGGGGCAGCAGATTTTGGTGCAAGTGGGTCAGGTGGTCTTGCAGGACAACAGCAGAGCATTTCAGGTTCTGGAGATGGCCATGAAATCAGAGCAGAGCAGCAGAGGTGCTGATAGGTCAAGTGGCTGCTTATCAGAACTGCCCTGAAGATAGCTGGTAGGAGCCAGCTCCTTCCTTCGCGAGGGGCTGCATGCTATAGAGCTTTAATACGCCACCTAAACCCAGTGGGACCCAACTACAAGTGTTGGTTTCAGGTCAGGTTGGGTCTAAAAAAACCTAAAAAAAATCTCTGATCACCCCCTCCTGCCCTGGGGCTGGCGTGGCAATGGCTGCATGCCATTCTCCTGCATGCCATGCTCCTGCTAATCACCGCCACCTTGCTGTGCTGCGGTGTTAGTGTGCCGACAAGTCTCAGTGCCTCTTGTTCCAAAGCATGTGAAGTGTGGCAAGGGTGGCTGCTAGGAATGGGTACGCAGTTACTGCCGCACCAACAGGGGGTATGTGGAGCAGGAAGCCCCCACAAGGCCAAGCCCCAAGGACAAGATGAAGCTGACACAGGTTCGGGGGGAAGTATCGGGTTCAGGTCTGGCTTGAAAATGACTCAATGCTCTTGGGTCAGGTTTGGGTTGTCTGTGCTCAGGTTGGTGTTTAGCTGCGGGTCAGGCTTTAAAATTAGCCCAGAGCAGACCTCTAGCATGCTGGTGTCACCCAGTGGCGTAGCCAGGTGGAGGGAACAGGGGGAGTGATAAAAAAAAAGCCGCCACCCGCTGCCGAAGAGCCACGGAGTGAGTGAAGGTCCTGCCACCGAAGTGCCGCCAAAGACCTCGAGCACCCCCGGGTGAGTAAAATAGAAGCGCTGCAGCGGGTGGCACTTTTTTTTTTTTGATTGCTCCCCCTGGTGAGTAAAAAGGCACCAAGAAATTGACAAGGTGCCACTTGTGCTTGGGGGGGAGCGGCCGCTGCCCTGCTCCCCCCAGCTATGCTAATGTCCTCACCACCTCCTCTCCTGGTCCCGATGTGGGAAGTTCCAGCTTCCCCAGGCTGATAGGCAAGGAGGGCCACCACCCACAGGAGAAGAAGCTGCCTTCTAATGCAGACACCATTGCAGTGCCACACTGAGAATACTGCCTGTATGATCTCTGAGCCAGAGACTGTTACCCTCTGTGTATGGAAACTTCTAAGCTCATTTTGGATGTTACCACAAACTATATAATGATGACAATGGGATCTTCCTGCTCTGTGATTCTTGATAATTAGCAGTTGCTTGACCTTGCACTGCATTCCCCATCCACTCACTGCAGCTGGCAGATATCTTTCATCAGCTATGGAATTTCGCTTCTATCCTCAAACTGCCTTATTGTACTTACCTGTAATAGGGAAGCTTCTGCTTGGGCAGGGTTTATCAGTTGCCTGCCTGTTCTTCCTCTGATATCACTGCAGCAGCATCCCAGCCCCTTCAGTCTGGAAGCATGAGGCTGGAGAGAAAACAAACTAGTTCCAAAGCACAGTTCAGCCAGTCTTACTCTAAAGGCCCTTCGTATATGTGTGTGCGTGGTTTGGAGAGGAAGTGGTAAATGTATAACAACCTCTCTGACACAAAGCAATAAACATGGTTAAGATGTTAAACTCTTTAAACTGCACTGAACTTCACAAAGCGGTTTGCATTGGAACGTCATATGTTAATTCTGAAATATTGATTGCTGTAGGGTTATAATTTAGAGTGATTGTCCACATGGATTCCACTTCTGGTGCAGGCATCTGATGCCCAGGAGATCTAATTCGTTTGGCAGCAATGTCTGTTGGGGCTGTGCCTGTAACCTGGGTGCCCTAGTGTTCCCCTACTTGAGGGCAATATGGAGTGCATGGGCCCAAGCATCTTTCCGTTCTTTCTCGCCACCCATGGTTGCAAGATGGGAATCCTTGCAGGATCTACTTATCTGTTCGCTGTGCAACTTTGATACCCGTGTGTGTAAATAAATAAATAGCATAGTTGACATAATGTGTTTCTCTTTTTTATGGCCTTTGGCAATATTAAAAGAAAAAAATGCAAAACAAAACTTAATATTAGGGACTTCCCTGGTACTGGGATTTAGCAGCTACAGCTGAAACAAGGTCCCCAGCATTCAAAACTTGCCCCTCTTGTGATGTGGCTGTTTCACTTAATGATGGGCACTTGAGGAGCCCTTTTTTTGGCTAGTTTTCTTCCCTGCTGTAATCAAGACGGAAACCAAACTGCACACCCTGGATGTGATCAGGGCTTTTTCGAATGACCTTGACAGCTCCTTCAGGCGCTCTCCCAGGCTGTCTGTAACAGTTACAGACAGAATTAAAGGTCCAACAATATCCACCCAAAGATTGTCTAAATTGATATTTAATTGTATTAAATTATGCTATGAGATCCACCCATGCAGGTTAGAAGCCATTCTACCAGGACTCAGATAGCTTTGGCTGCTTTTCTAAAAAGCATCCCCATCTCAGAAATTCACAGGGTAGCTACATGAGGATCAGTCCACACTTTCACCCAGCACTACTCCTTAGTCGTGGCCTCAGGATCTCACTCCCACTTTGGTAGAGCTGTCCTGCAATCCTCATTTAACTAGGACTCCTAGCACCTACCTCCTGATTTGAGGGCATTGCTAGCTAGCCACCAGAAGTGGAATCCATGTGGACAATCACTCAAAGAAGAGAGAAAGATGACTTATCCAACAGTATCTGTGGTTCTTTGAGATGTTGTGTCCACTTGGATTCCATGATCTTTTCTCCTTCCCTGCTACTATGGAGTCCTATACCATCTGGATTCTCTATTGGCGAAGGAACTAAGGGACAGTTGGGGCCTACTTTGTCCTTAATCCCATCAAGTGGGGGAGAGGATGAGGACATTCAGGGCACAAGCACGGCCCCAGCACTGCTGGCCAAAATATTGTGATCTTGCATGCATCAGAGTCTTCTTTTTATGCTGAATTTGGTGGGAATTATAGCATGGCATTTATAAAAGCAGTAAATTGGTTGCTTGAATGACTCTGCTATAAATTATCTCAACTGTAAAACAGTTATCCCCTCCTGCAATGAAATGGTAAAGCCAGTGTCCCATTGACACCTGTTGTAAAGATCTGATATTTGTATGGCAGTGCTTATTTCATTTTCTTGTCCCTCAGCTGGATGGTACAGGCTTGGGCTCAGTATAGCTGTGTTCCCTCTTCGCACACAGCATCAGTAATCATGGTGACTAGTAGTAACTCGTTCCCTTCTTGTATGCAAACACTCAAGCTACTTCCTCTTCCAGCCATCCTTCCCTTGGAAGCTCTGGTTTCCTCTTTTGCTCACTTATTCTTGTGCTTTTCTTTGTGAAGAATCAGTGGTGCACTTCATTTAATAAGCACTTACTCTGCTTCCTAATGTACCTCTGGATTAATTTCTAATGAAATATTATGGTAAGGTAAACACGCCACACCTCTTGAAGGGTTATGACATTGCAGTAGCTGTCCTTAGAGAACCTCTATGCAACCTGTTCTCTTCAGCTGAAGCATTTTAATCTGTCGTTCTTGCTGCCTGGCAATGTAACTCTTACTTCCATCACTCAGTGTCAGTAAATGTTATAATTTCTTCTTTTACAAGTTATATTTCACCTTGAATTTGAACACACAGAACTTCTGGTACAGCACAGAATCATCTTCAGCTCTTCCGGTTTCCAGGGCGCAAAAGAAGTTTCTCAACCTTCCTGTGTCGCTTCATCCTGTTACTACAGGGGCAGTTTATTTGGACATGCACCTTGCCAGTGATAATGCGTATTACTGTGCAAAAGTGCTGTAGTCTCTGACTTCAGAGATTAGGTTGGAAATAGGGTTGCCAATTTAGGTTGGACCTATTCCTGGAGGTTTCATCACATGACATAAACTTTAATTAAAGACTAATATTTAATTTCTGGAGACTCCAGGGCAATCCTGGAGGGTTGGCAACATTAGTTGGAAAGCTGGTCAATGCAATTCTTAACAATGACTATTGGGTTATGCGTAGTAGAGAGCAAAGTGCACTTGTATGATCAGGAGACTTCTTAGACCAAGTTTTACTTCTTTCCAGCCACCAATTGTGTGTTTTGCAGAGGTAAGCAAAATCTATTTGTTGACCTTTTGTGAGTTTTCTTTATTTCTCTCCACAGATAATTGGCCTACTGATTGTGTTCACACCACAGAAATCTCTGGAAGAATTTCAAGATGTGTAAGTCTAATTTTTACCCCCAAGTTTCTAACTATTTAGTTACTTGTCACGAGCATTGCAGTGGAATGGACTTCAGACAATACACCTTATTTTCTAATTACTCATTTGTTGTTGTTTCATAAGTTACATAGTGATGGAGCTCATGGATGCAAATCTCTGCCAAGTGATTCAGATGGAGCTAGACCATGAACGAATGTCGTACCTTCTTTATCAGATGCTGTGTGGTATCAAGCATCTTCACTCTGCTGGAATTATACATAGGGTTAGTGGTATACTATACTTTTTAAAATCCGCCTAATGTTCTTGCCTTCAGTATTAAGGAGCCAGGAAAAATTCTATTAATATGGAAACCATGTATATACTTTCAAAGCCTGCATTGGTGTTGGGGTGTGTGTGTGTGGGTGTGTACATTTAAACAAAAGTCTGAGTCCCTCCTGAACTGGATCTCAATTTGTCTAGACTACATTGTCCAAAATCTGTATAATAGGTTGCATCACCTCCTCTAATTTGCAGTAGAATTCTTATCCCAGTGGATATCAGAAGGAAAGAATACCTGGAAAAGAGTGACTTTTTATACTAATTGGTTAAACCAACTAAACTCCTGTTTCGTTTTTTGGTAACCAAATGTGAAATTCCATATATTTTTAAACTGCCATAATGTAATCTTTATTTCTGCATTTTTTAAAATAACAAACACATTATACACCTCTAAAATTCTCTGCATAATCAAATATTATCTAGTCCTGTGAGTGAAACGTTATATAACCATGTAACTTGGAAAATTCTATCCTGTAAGCCGCCTAACTGTTTCCTCATTGCAGGGGTGGCCAACCTGTGGCTCCGGAGCCATATGCGGCTCTTCAGAAGTTAATATGCGGCTCCTTGTACAGGCACCGACTCGTGGGCTGGAGCTACAGGCGCCAACTTTCCAGTGTGCTGAGGGGGTGCTCACTGCTCAACCCCTGGATCTGCCACAGGCCCTGCCCCCACTCCACCCCTTCCTGCCCCCTCCCCTGAGCCTGCCATGACCTCACTCCTCTCCCCTCCCCCCAAAAAACCTTCTGCACACCACAAAACAGCTGATCAGGAGGGAGGGGGAGGTGCTGGTGGGTGGGAGACACTGGGAGCGGGTGGTGGGAGCTGCTGGGGGCCTGCAGACGTATTACTGTGGCTCTTTGGCAATGTACTTTGGTAAATTCTGGCTCCTTCTCAGGCTCAGGTTGGCCACCCCAGTCTCATTGTGTTGTTTATATTAAGTCAAGGTTGCTTAATTAGGCACTCAGGTCAGGAAATTGTGAAGTTAAGTTGTCCATGCATTACAATACTGTCTACAGTTACATAATTGTATATGATTTCTCAAATATTATATTATATTATAATCTTAGTAATACCTAGCAACTTATAATACTTCGTTTGCTTACTCTGTTTTCATTGTTACAATATTTAATTATATATATGTGTGTATTGACTTCTTAAATAAGTTCTCATCTCGGTATGCATTTAATTATTTTTCAGCACCCATATACTATACATTCTCTTCAATCAGCAGTGCAGCCTTCCTTAGGTGCAATTCAGGGGATGAGACAGTTAACTATCCAAGGTAATTTACTTGGATATGTATATGCCAGGAAATTTTTTTTATTATTCTGAAATACTTATCCTGTTGTACTTGACCTGTAGTTTTGTGTGCTATTACTATTTTTCCATGTACTCTTTCATTTCAATGTTTGTATTACCCTTTGTATACCAGATAAAAAACTACAGAATATTGCATTTGTTTATTTAGGATGGTTCCAAAAAATTGATAGATACTATGTTGTATGAGAAATTCAGTGTGATTTTTGTGACACTTTTATTTGTCATCAAAGTCTCCATCATAATGCATAGATCCAGGGGTGCAAAGAAAGGCCACACATGCAACCTTGGCATTTCCTGTCTTTTGAGTGCTTAGCTGTACAACCTTGATATTTTTCAGAGGCTTATAGTATGGATTTTCCTAGGGTTTTTTCGCTGAGGAAAAGAAATCCCAATACTATGGACATACTTGGCGAGAATGCACTCCCCTAACCCATGTTGAAATACATAGGAGGGGAGCCCCTATTCTGTCAGTTTTAGGAGTTGCAGGGCAGTCTCCTTTCAGACCTTCTAAGCACACCATAATACAGAGCCCCTGCTCTCAGAGAACCTGCAGGTGAATGGAAACATTTATGCAATCATAGTTATAAAAGGAGCTACTTCACCACCACAGTGTTCAGTTCAGTTCCAGATATTATTGGTGGTGGGTGATAGTTTGAAAATCAGGACATCTAGCTTCAGTGCTTCCTGGTAGTTGTAGTTTAGAATTTGTACTGACATTCCTGAAGCATTTGAATTGCTTCATATTGTAGTGCAGTATAAATTCACAAGATGACCTGTTCTGGCAAGGCTAACTTTTGGCACATTTGCTGTGTAAATAATGATCTTTGAATGCGTTAATGGCTCTGAATGACACAGATGGATCAATTTCAACTTCAGGTCCTCATATTATGACAGTTCATTCTCAGCCTTCATAGAAAGATCAGCCTGCTGTTCATGAAAAATGTTGTGTTGCTTAATTTTGCATCAATTAATCATTTGTATTTAAAGGTGTAAAGCTTTAGTTTTCCTTGTGTCTATCAAGCAGGTTACAACAAACCTTCTGAAGAAAAGGGATATTTGCAAAGGACCTTAGCTTTATGTGGAACACATATACCTTCAGCAGTGATTTTATTTGTACCTCACTTAGCCAGGTCCTCAGCAACAATATCATTAATGTCTAATGCCAATTTCCCTGTTGACACTGTTCATCCCATATTATCTCTTTCTGTGGTTGTGTGTGGTGCATTCGGGGTCTTGGTATGGTCATGGCACCTGGGAGTCAGGAACTCCTGAGTTCTAAAACTTGCTCTGCCATTAACGAAGCATAATTGGGTTACTTAGCTTCTCTATGTAATAGTAATGTTTACCTCATATAGGTTGAGAGTTAATATTTGCACATTGCTTTGAAGGTGTAAAGTGCTGTATACGTGCTTTTATGCGGGACATATTGCATTGCTTGTGGAAATACTTGCTTCAAACAGTAGCATGCTTGATATGCACAAACATGGCAGAAACACAATACATGTACAGTGTAAAGGCTAAAAATGAAGGAAAGCTCCCACAATTTTTACTGGCCATGCAAATTGCACACATATATAATTATCAAAGGGATAGCCGTGTTAGTCTGGATCTGTAAAAGCAGCAGAGAGTTCTATGGCATCTTATAGACTAACAGACATATAGGAGCATGAGCTTTCATGGGTGAATACCCACTTCTTGCATCCGAAGAAGTGGGTATTCACCCACGAAAGCTCATGCTCCTATACGTCTGTTAGTCTATAAGGTGCCACATGACTCTTTGCTGCTTTTACATGTATAATTAAAATGCATAGCCTTCACATCAGTACTTCTCAGTATAGATTTGACTATAGATAGCTTAACCTTACTAATACCTTGTACATGAGCACCTGTTCCCAGAATACTCAAAGCATTTTACAAAGGTTGAACCTGCAACAGCTCTAGAACTATGCTTTAGTCTCCATTTTGCAGGTGGAAGATGGTGATTGAGCTGAGTCCCAGCGATGTCTGGAGTGACTTGCTGAAGGGCACGCAGAATGTCAGTGAGAGAATTGGGTATACAATCCAGGAGTCGTCATATCAATTTCCTGCTCTAACCACTGCATCATTCACACATCAGGATTTTGAGCCCCTGCTATAATGAAAATGTATATATTTGTACACCTGAATGAGTTTAAAATGTACCTTGTGGCAGTACTAGCCATGGGAATTCTGAAGCACGTTAGGATACATGGCTTGTTGATTTGTATTTGCGTTCAAATTTTCTAGACTTTCTGGAGGTCAAATACTGGAAGGAAATTGAAGAATGGATATGCTTATGTAGGCATTTACTTTCTGCGAGCAAATGACCGTGGGTGCATGGAATTATTTCCTGTTCATGATGATGGTAAAATCTTTCCTCAATTCTAGCCTCACAATTTTGAAGAGAATGAATTTGGTTAATACAATAATATTGTGGCAGGCTGAGATGCCACATCATTTATTGATGGGGAAACAGGACTGCTCCAGAGGTCCTATAATAATTCCATCCCCATAATAGAAACCTGCATATATACAAGAGTATTCAAACAGGATATAAACACAACTCCAACACAATCTAAAATAAGTATTGTCCTAAGTAGCTGAAATGTCTCATCACACTTGAATGAGATAAATGTTGAGTATCTTGTAAGCAGAAGACTAATCTCTAGAGTCAATAGAAGCCCTTATTATGCATCATATCTTCAAAAACATTCTCCTAGCACATGATTTGGGGAGAGGTGGGAAGGTGACTGACTTCAAATGTTCCTGTACACTGGTTTGATTTACTTTATAGTTTGTAGTAAGTGTTGCAGTATTCTTGTATATTAGAGAGGCTCACTGGAAGCCTGAAAATTACCATATAAAAACTACCTATATCAGTATCTTCTGTCTCAAAGGGGAGCCAGATCTTGGTCTTCTATCCCATGGTAATTCTGTCTTTTGGGGAATCACTCCTCTAGTGATCAGTTAGGTGGGAATGAGAGATCTCATGATGTTTTTTTAGGACAAACCTTCTGATGATATGGCCAGCGTTTGCTCTGTGACATCTAAAGGTGTGGAAGATATGGCTTAGAACAAAATGGTTGCCTTATATGCTTCTGTAAACGCTGCATGGGCAGTTTGTAGCTCATAGCTTTGTAAAGCATCTTGGAAGACTGAGTTTAAAAGGGGCAATGGAAAATAAAAATCTGGTTGTAGAGCTCAACTGAAGAGTTCAGTTGCAAATCTTCCAGCTAAAGTGCCTTGAAACTTTGGGAAGGTATTTTGATTCCTGTTTTTAAAGGTGCAGGGTTATCTTCTGGAAGTTTTTGCAATGGCAATTCGGGGTTCTGTCGTTATTAAATTTAAAGTTGGTTAACCGATGACCAACCAAATCATTATTGGCAACTAACTCTTTGCAAGCATGAATTTCCTTCTGATCATTCAGAGAAATATCTACAACAAATCAAAAGAGGTAATGCAACCTTGATTGGTAAAGTTGATGCAGGGTAACTCACTTTTTTTAACAGATGCATTTTAACTGTAAAAAGTTTTGCTTGATTAAATCGTAAGAATCTTCATGTTTTGAATACCATTTATGATTAAAAAGTCCTGTTGTGACATTATCTCTAATAATTCAACCATCCTTGTTCCTCTTTGGAACTGTAATTCCCTTAAGCAATTTGTAATACTTGACTCAGTGCTAACATTTCACACTAACCCCAAATTATTTCAAACATTGCTAATATATCTAGTAACCTTAGTTGTGTTTTTCTCCCCCTACTTGTTACATAAACTGCTGAAGAGTAATACCAGAGGTTTAATTCTTTGGTTGGCTGAAGATATGAAAATTAATTCATATGAGAAAAAAAATATTGGAAGAATGAAGTTATAAAAATGGCCCAGTTTTTAATTTTTATGCCAGTGGTTATTTTCTTTAAGATTTGAACTGCAGAGTGTTTTGTTCTTGTCTTAGCAGTCATGTATGATGTTTCTTTTTAAGGATTTAAAGCCCAGTAATATAGTAGTAAAATCAGACTGCACTTTGAAGATTCTTGACTTTGGACTGGCCAGAACTGCAGGAACTAGTTTTATGATGACGCCTTATGTAGTGACTCGTTACTACAGAGCACCAGAGGTCATCCTAGGGATGGGATACAAAGAAAACGGTCAGCAAATATAGTCTTTCTTTGACATAGCTTTTATTTTTGTTTGGCACACCACATTTTACATGTTAATGTTTTTCAAGCTGTAGAAACTTTTTTAAAGTAACACTGTGACCAAAATGTATAATATAGTTACACCCAATAGTTCATATTTAATAAAACCTATTAGAAATGTTTACATTTAATCTAAAAAAGAAATTGGGGGTCTTGTTTGTTTAAAAAGATAAATAATCTACTTTGGACAGTGGTTTGTTTCACCTGCAAAAAGTGAGAAATGCCCTTTCCCCATATGTACTATCTACCTTGATCTATAGAATATCCTGGGTTGAGAGGTCATCGCTGGGCCTATTGGTAACTAATGTGAAAACAAATACTTCTAAAGTGACATAAGGAAGGAAAAGGCTACATTGGAATATATTTGCTACTTTTTGAAAGAGACACTCCAAAGAGGGATGTGCAAGCTGAGCCCACTCACTACTGGCATGAATTTGTTTTTATTTTAAAATGTGCCAGTTCTGATAAATTACCTTCCTCTTTAGTTGGTTTATTATTTACAAGCCCAGGAACAAAAACTAGTCACCTGACGTTATGAAGGCTACTGCTACACTAAAGAGCTTACAGTGGCACAACTGCACCGATACAGCTGTGCCACTGGAAGCTCTCTCTTGTAGCCGCTGTAAGCCAATGGGAGAGAGCTCGTCTGTTGGCTTAACTACTTCAGTCCTTGCGAGCGGCGGTAGCTATGTTGGCCACATAGTGCTGTCCACATTGACACTTACGTTGGTGTAACTTATGTTGTTCAGGGGCGATGGTTTATTCAAACCCCTGAGTGGCAGAAGTTGTGCCAACATAAGTTGTAGTGTAGACATAGCCTAAGACAATGATGAAAAAGTTACTCCAGGTGAATGAGTGAATAGTTTTTTGGTGAGGCTGGGGCTATGTTTTCCTCCTAAGACTGTTAGTTTGTATTAGTGTGTATGTTCCTCCAAAATGCTGTATAAAGGGCTAGGTAAAAGCTATGCATTATTATTTAGAAACCCAATGCTGAGTGAAGCAAGCAAGGGATGAAGGGTTTTTTTCACTCTGAATTTACCTAGCTGATCAGGCTAGCTCAGGCACTTATTTCCTTTTTTCTGGGGCTTTAAAGTGGCTAATTAGAGAAGAAAAAGGACAAGCAAACCTTTTTTTAAAACAAACAGAACTTTTCCCTGAGAGAGAAGCATTCTTTAAAAGCAGCATCACACCCTTTGCGTTATTATGGCCTGTTGCCTCATACATAATTGTACAATTATGTAAGTTCCAATCTGGCAGCAGATTTCCTTTTTAAAAAATAATTAAGGCTTGTCTTTTGGGGGGCTAATAGTATTACCAGCCTATTGACTAGGGTTACCATACGTCCGGATTTTCCCGGACATGTCCGGCTTTTTGGGCCTCAAATCCCCATCCGGGAGGAAATCCCAAAAAGCCAGACATGTCCGGGAAAATAGGGAGGGAGGGCCCGGCGGTGCGGGGCCAGGCCAGGGCCAGGGGTGCTTGGCCGGGGGCCAGGGCCCGAGCCGGGCAGGAGACGCCGGGGCCAGAGCCTCTTGGCCTGGGCCAGCCGGCCGCCAGAGGGAGCCACTCGGCCAGGGGGCCCGGACTGGGCCGCGTCACGCCCCAGCCCCAACCCCAGCTTACCTGCTGCCTCCCTGTTTCAGGCTTCCCGTGAACATTTGATTCGTGGGAAGCAGGGGAGGGGGAGGAGCAGGGAGCGGAGCTTCAGGGGAGGGGGCAGAGTTGGGGCGGGGACTTTGGGGAAGGGGAGGAGTTGGGGCGGGGCTGGGGGCAGGGAAGGGGCGGAGTTGGGGCAGGGGCAGGGCCCGTGGGGTGTCCTCCTTTTTTAAAATTAAAATATGGTAACCCTACTATTGACAGGAATTACCTTCTAACATACTCTGGAATGGAGCAAATGTATTGGTTAGTACAGATGTCTTATACAAGAATTAGTACACTTTAAAATTTCAATGGCAGATTCCCTGGTGCACCAAAGCAGTCAGAACACACTGGCCAATTAAAAAGTGGAAGTTTTTTGGGCAAATTAAGGTCCAGATTTACCATTGCACGTTGGCTGATCAAAAAGAGCTGTAAAAGATTTAAGGTTGATAGTATGTATCTTTAATAGAAATATCACATGGTAGCATTCTCTTTGGGTTTCTTGTTTAGTATTTTTGTATGAAATCTTCAATTTTTTTTTTTTTATTAGAAAAGTTCCAGACAAAAAACCGTTAAAATGGAGTTACGGTTAAACATGTGTGTCAGTAATTTAAGGATAAAAAACTTTACAGGGATCATCTGAAACCAAGTATTACAAACCCAGGAAATTCAAACATTCCTGTAATATTTTTACCCTATATTACCAATATGTAATATCAACTTTACATCCACTTTAACCATTTTTTTTCTTGGAATTTTAATTAGGAGTAAGTGCTTCCCATGTAGGGATTTTAGACAACAGACACTTTATCACAATTAGAAGAATAGGAAAAGTTATATGAAAATGTCTCATCGAGATCATTTTTGACCCAAGATCTTTTATTTCAAACTTCCTGAGACCATCTCTTAGACTTAAGGCTTGGTTACATTTTAGCTTCACGAAATCTTTGTAAAGAAACCTTTGTAATTGACAGTGTTCTTCAGAGCAAACTTCTGGAAATTTTGAAGGGTGAGCAAAGAAGTTGTTTCTAACATTCACTCATTTGAGCCTGTTACAATCCCTGGCATTTGATGCTGAAGAGAAATACTTGATGTTCATATACGGTTGCTATTTCCTTACTCTCCACACAATTCACTTTTATCATTTTGAGCCAGACTATCTCCAGTAGGTTTTGGGTGCATTTCTCTTCATGAGAGCAGAGGGTTGCTTTGCAGGTGAAACAACCAACATTCAGAATCTTCATTAAACTGTCAAGAACAAAATTTTACTTTTTTTTTTTAGTTTTGTGCCAAAAATGCATTGTTCTTAAATACCTGAAAACAGTTTATAAAGACAATATTAATACCAATCTTCAAATGTAGTGGCGACTTATGTGCCACAACTCATGTAATTATGATCTGGGATTTAAAAGCAACAAACATTTTTAAAATGAACCAGGCCCTTAATTTTAACACCTAATCTGTAGAGTTGAGATTGTAATCAGGAGATTGATTTAGGTAATATTTTAGAGGAACTCTTAAACATCGGGAAAGGGAACCTACTCTGTAGTTTGTTTAACTCAGTACTATTACACATGCTTTTATTATGCAAGTGTTCTCACTTAAAACCCATTCTTTTCTACTTTAGTGAAATTCTAAGCTAGTGTCTGACAAGGAGCTAATAGTAGTAAAAATTCATCACTCTGATTTCAAGAAAACTCTTGCATAAAAATCAGCAACAGTAGCAAAGAAAATTGGCATACCTGTAAAAAGTAAACGTACTTCAGTGGGGATGTCTTCCACGGTTGAGTTTTTTTGAGAGAAAGTGAGAGGTAGGGCAGAAAGTCTAAGTACTTTTTATATACAAACTCGTATTATTATGAGTGTTCGTTTCTTTTGTATCAGACAACATTATGTTCTGACATTGCTGTAGAAGTATTTTTAAATCAATTATTTCTAGTCTAACTACTTCCAGGAACATACTAATCTTGTTAACTGATCCTCTAAAATGCTAAATGATCTTTTACTGCTTGTATTCCCTTTTTGTTTAAAGGGAGAGAGGACTGCACAGTAAAGCACTTTTCAGGAAATACCTGGCAAAAGTTTCTTCTGTTCCTCCTTAATCAAATTTAGCCAGTAACCCATAAATTCTGCTCTAAAAGTGTGCACTACTGAAACACGCTTCCTTCTTTCAAATGACAATTTGGTTTGCTAGCTTTAAAATGACTGACTTTTGCAAGCACTATGAAACATTTAAACAAATATACTTATCTTTGCTATTCCAAGCAAATCTATTTGTGGAAATAATTACATGTTGTTATTCCAAGCTAAAGAACTTCAAGATGGGCTTTAAACTGTCTGATATGTGTGCATCTCTCTCACTTTAGACAGTATTTTAAGCAAAAGGCTATTCTTCTGACTTTTCTTTGAGCCAGATGAAAAGATAATCCTTAAAGATACTCTGTGTTAAAATAGTTTCACTGCTTAATACCACGATGATTTCTTTCCTTCCTGTGCTGTCTGCAGTTGATAGGATGCAGTCATGTTATGCTTCTTTAATTTTAAATGACCGTTTGCTTTGCTTTTCCTTCTTTTTGTGCTACAAACATAGTGGATTTATGGTCTGTGGGGTGCATTATGGGCGAAATGGTTTGCCACAAAATCCTCTTTCCAGGAAGGGACTGTATCCTTGTGCTTCTGCAGCAGGTTGACTTAGTTAGGTGATTAACGTTCTAATGTTCTCTCATGAAAATGCATATGGGTCAATTTTTTTCTTAAATGGACATGAATTTTTTTTGTGATACATTTCAAAAATTGTTGAGGTAAGAACTTCAGTTATACTCAGGCTGCATCTAGCAGTAGGACATAGTCTCTGCTGGTACTGTAGTTAGCACACATTCACACTCACTCATTTCCATTGTACACTGCTTTTTTATAATTACTTCACGTGTGTGGATTATTTTTTAATTTTATTTTATTTTGATAACTACCTTTTTATGTTAATGTCATTGCATTTTGTTTTCAGTTGACATTTGGTCAGTTGGGTGCATCATGGGAGAAATGATCAAAGGTGGTGTTTTATTTCCTGGTACAGATCGTATCCTTACCTTTGGCCTAGGATGTAGTTTTGAAAGGTTCAAACATACAGCAGCATTTCAGGTCCATGTCAGAGTAGTCTTTGTCTGCTCCACTGCTGCCTGCTACGACACTGTTTAAATTACTGTTTCAAAATACCATTTGTGAGTTCATGATTTTTAGTTCTGATTGTCACAAAGTTGTTTATGGGAATATCATTTTCAAAAAGCAAAGCAAATAACTGTAGCTTGCAGTGCTGCATTTAGCAATTCATGCAGACTAACTTTAGAGAGACGAGTAGCTATCCACTTGGACACACTGAGGTTTTTACCCTTTTATTTTCACTTCAGATTTTTATATAGTGCCTATCCATTGCTTCTGGGTGTTGCCATAATTAAGTTGGACTTCTTTTGTTGTAGAATGCTTTACTTGTTATATGTTTTGATTTTCCTTTTTAACTGAACATTTTATGGAGTGATCTACTATTCTACTAATCTCAGCTGTTGTCTAAATACTTCCGCAATGTTGCTTTTTGTGTTTGTAAGTGGACGTTTAAAAAATTCCTAACCAGTCCGGCTTGTGTCACGTAGTCTCAGGTTATGCTTTGTGTGCTACTTTAAAGGAAAGCTCCAGAGATGATGATCTTAGATAGCTGAATATATTGCTACATAAATCTATATATGTAATATAAAATATAGTAAAAAAGTGAATCTTCAAAGCATCTTTTAGAAATATCTACCAGGCCTGTGTTTCCATTCAATGAATGAATTGTAGTGTCTCTCTCTGGGCATTGCCATATTAAAGATACTTCCAGCAGAGGACTTGTTAGATGGAAACTGGACTGAAAGAAATCTGCATCACCAGTAGACATTACTAAGAATCAGAAGTTTTGTTTGTGCAGAGTTCTGTTCACTTCCTCCCCCAAACCCTTTAACTAATTTCATTGGTTAAACCAAGCATTAAATTCCAGATTTGTTGGTTTTAAAGGTAAAGCTACTGGAAAAAGACAAAACCCTTAAATTCTTATGTCCAATATTTCCAGATAGGAACAGAATTATCGGTCTTGCTCTGCATCATCCAACTGTCGGGGCTGCAGTTATTTATTTGAGACACTGGCCCTGATTCAGCTTAATTTCTTAAATGCATCTTAGATCTATCTAACTTCACACACATGAGCAATCTCTTTGACTTCAGTGGGACTTGTTGCATACTTCAACACAACACAAGAAGTACCTTATTGAATTGGAGACACTTTCTGTTATGTTAAGACTCAAGGGCCCAAATTTTCAAATATGCATGCCCAAGGTTAAGGTGTCTTAATAAAAATAGCTTAATTTTTTTTCACATCTGCTGAGCAACCCCAGTTTTTGTTTAACTTTAGAGGGAGCTAAATTAGACCCCTCTTATTTATGCAGTTATCTTTGTTCATTCAAGTTTGAACACTTGGCTTTCATTTTATGACTTATTGTGATAATTAGAACTTTCTTGTACTTTTGACATTTTAAATGAGAACTGCAATATATTTATGGGGCTTTGTTAGATGCATCTAGATTCCGTAGGCATTTTATAATGTCCTCATGACTGTAGTATCTAGCTCTTAAGTGAGTAGGAGCACAGGCAAAGTTCCCATTGACTTAAGTGGGACCAGGATTTCAACCCTGTTGTGCACATCTACATTGCCCAAATGTGACCTCTCTCCTAATTAGTACACACTTCATGTATTGCACAGCCAAAGCTTGAGTCAGGCTATAGAATATATAGATAAAACACCGATGAGTGGCTTTTCTCTCTAATGCCTTATTGATGCCTAGCAAATTTGGGAGTTGAATCTAACAGAACTCGACTGTCTGCTCTCTGGACAATTATACAAATAGGAAGCCTGGTAGGTTTCTGTTAAACTTATATTTGAGATTTGCTTTAGCTCAGTGGGTTTTTAACTCACTGTACTTTCTACAAGTGTATCCTTTGGCAGGTCTGGATATTTTATGAGTAAAATCAATAGTAGCTGCACTACTCTTGAGCCAGACTTACAATTATTCATCTTCACTGTTCTCTTGAACAAGCTAATAGTGTCTTTTTATTTATTACGGTCTGCTACCTTCATCTCTGTTAGATATTTTGTATTGTTTTAACATAGCCTTTATGCTTAATGTTAGACATGCCATGTTTTTCTTAGCTGCTTGACCTTAGATATTGATCAGTGGAATAAAGTTATTGAGCAGCTAGGAACACCATGCCCTGAATTCATGAAGAAATTGCAGCCAACAGTGCGGACTTACGTGGAGAACAGACCTAAATATGCTGGATATAGTTTTGAGAAACTCTTCCCAGATGTACTTTTCCCAGCTGATTCTGAGCACAACAAACTTAAAGGTAAGATCTTTGTACATGTATGTTGTATCATTTTTCATATTGTAGTAGCCTCGTGAATGAAAGTTTAAATTTTGTCCATTGTCAGATGAATCTTTTAAAAAGTTAAACTTTAAAATGTTGTTGCCAAGGGATGGGATGTATGTGCTGGGGTTACTTCTATCTCCTTTTCCTGTTTTCTCCGGAGCTACTGTTGCATATTCTTGTAGTAGCTTCTTTGTTACCCAGAAACAGATATTTTCCTTTACAGCTGACACTAAAACTGCTTAGAGAGGGGTGTGGATGTTGGAGGAAATGTGGGGTGGAGGGAAAAGGCAAAAAAGAAAGCTATTGTTGTAAGCTATGTAGCCAGAATTCTTTTCTCTTTAGAGATCAAGTAATTTACATCCCTTTTTTTGTATCCTGTCTACCCATGCCTTTGGCTCTTTTATCTCTTCATTCTAGAAATAAGAATTTCTTGGTGCTAGAAGTCAGCTGCTACTTAGCACAGTAGACTTGAGGCTCAAAGGAGAATGGAAGGTGCTCACTCTTATAGCCCCTGCCTGTCCACAGGACAGCCTAGGTTGTATCTCAAATGCGGATTTTTCATTTCCACTATCAGCCAAAGAAGGGACTGACCAGCACTATGACCATAGCCCATTTAGGGGTAAGAGGATTCTTGGGAAGAAGAAAGGAGACATTGAAATGCTCAGAACTCCCATCTTTGCCTCTGGGTTTACACATGGAGAATGGTTTCTTGTACCATTTATTTATGCAGTGAGGTAATTTTGAAACAATGGAAGCTCCACATTGTAAAAACACTTGCAGTGATAGAGGCTCTTACACTGAATTAACTGAATTTTAGTATGGCTTCCCTGATATGGCTAGCTCTGCTTTCTACAAGATTTTACTTGTATTTACTTTCTCTAAATATCCTGGCCTAAATAAAGAGTACATTTTAAATTATGAGAGTAGTTAACCATTGAACAATTTACCAAGGGCATTGGTGGATTCTTCCTCACTGACCATTCTTAAATCAAGATTGGATGTTTTTCTAAAAGATCTGCTCTAGGAATTATTTGGGGGAAGTTCTCTGGCTTGTGTTATACAGGCGATCAGACTAGAAGATCATAATGGTCCCTTCTTGCCTTAAAATCTATGAAACCTAGACACTATATATTGAAAAGATATAATCTAGCGTGTCCATCTCCTAACCCCAACACTTCCTAGCTACTACGAGACTTTCTCATACATTATTTTATCCTGTTGAGTTGTGAGTAACTCAAGTGATATGGATACCACCCATTATTTTGAGAGACTGTTCCATAGTTCAGTTCCAGAGTCAGTCAGAAATATTTCCCCCTATTGTCTAGACATTTTTCACACTTTTACTCCTAGTTCTACCTCTGTGGACAACCCTAAATGATTATTTCCCTCTTTAGTATTTACACACTTCAAACTCTTGTAAACTGTTTTTCGGATTCCCTGCCTTTTAATGTCATGGACCAGTACAACTAAATTCAGTTATCCCCTTAATTAAATTTGTTTAGCTTCTCTGTGAATTCTTACTAATTCTGTTTCTTTCCAACATTGAGATGCCTAAATACAGCATTCACCTGTAGTTGTAGTTTTGCTGGTGGAATACAGTATAAGGGGTGACTTGCATCCCAGGTTCATTTCATGATGACTCTGTGTGTTGCATCCAAAATTTCATTGACCTTTTTAGGTGAGTTTGCCACAATATTACACTGCAAATTCGTGCCCAATTGCTTTCCTAGTATATCCAGCTTGTTAAAATGATAGGGATATTTTTTCCTAGCTGTACTAGCCCTGTACACTTCCCCTTGTTTAATCACATTTTATTTCCTGTCCATTTGTTTAGCTCCTCAAGGTTTGTTTCTCTGACCTGGTTGGAATTTGCTCTGCCTCACCACCCAATTAGTCTGCTTTTTCACCACCTCCTCCAGATGATCAATAAAGATGTTAAATAAAATTGGATCCAACACTGATAATTTGACTGTATGGTGGGAGACTTCTCTCTCAGTACACTGGTCGGTCTCGCCTACTTGCTTAGGGTCTAAATGATCGCCATATTTGGGGTCAGAAAGGAATTTTCCCCCAGGTCAGATTGGCAGAGATGCAGGGGGAGGGAGGTTCACATTTCTCTGCAACATGGGACATGGGTCATTTGCTGGTATGAACTAGAAGCCTTTAAATCATGATGTGAGGACTTCAGTAGCACAGCAAGAGGTTATGGGCCTATTGCAGGGGTGGGTAGGAGAGGTTATGCGGCTGCAATGTGTAGGAGGTCTGTGATTGGGGGGCGGGGGAGAGCTCTTTTTTATGGACACACAACCAGCTGCAAAATCCCTCTTGATAGCTGTTCTCTGCTTGCTTTACCTATAAAGGGTTAAAAAAAGTCCCCCGGGTAAAGAAAAGGGAGTGGGTACCTGACCAAAAGAGCCAATGGGAAGGCTAGAACTTTTTGAAATTGGGAAGGAAGCTTTCCCTTTGTATCTGTGGTTGTTCTCCGGAGATGGGGAACATAGCAAGGTCAGGGCTATGACTATGCTATAAGCAGCTTTAAGCCAGGTATGAGAAATCATCAGATTCTACCTAGAATTACTGATTTGAAACCCCCCAAATATGTAAGTAAATTAGGAATGTTTAGAAAGACACGATTCGGTTTATTTCTGTTTATTTTTTGAGGCTTGTGGACTTCTCTGTGCTAACCCCAGATGCTTTTGTTGGCTTGTAACCTTTAGCTGAACCCCCAAGAAAGCTATTTTGGGTGCTTAATTTTGGAATTGCTCTTTTAAAATCTAGCAAAAGCCCAAGTTCCAGATGTATTTTCTTCCTTTTGTTTTAATAAAATTTACCCTTTTAAGAACAGGATTGGATTTTGGTGTCCTAAATGATTTGTGCATGTTGTTTGATTAGCCGGTAGCACAGCTAATTTCCTTGTTTTTTTTCTCAGCTCTTCCCTGGCAGGGGGGGGGGGTGAAAGGGCTTGAGGGTACCCCACAGGGAGGAATTCCCAAGTATGCCTTCCTGGGTCCAAGGGGTTTTTTTGCATTTGGGTGGTGTCAGCATTTACCAAGCCAAGTCAGAGAGAAGCTGTAACCTTGGGAGTTTAATGCAAGCCTGGAGTGCCCAGTATTAATTTTTAGAATCCTTGCAGGCCCCCACCTTCTGCACTCGAAGTGCCAGAGTGGGGATTCAGCCTTGACAAGG